TTCCAAGACCTGGCTGTTGCAAATTGTGCTGCTATAAACGTGGGTGCACATATATCACTGTGGTATGATGCTTTCAGTTCTTTTGGGAATATACCTACAAGTGGAATAGCTGGGTCAAATGGGGATCCCAATCCCAACTTTCTGAGAAGTCTCCAGACTGACCTCCACAAAGTTTGCACCAATCTAAATTCCCACCAGCAGTGCAGGAGAGTTCATTTTTCACCACAGCCTCTCCAGCACTTGTTGTTGGTAGTTTTCTTCATCTTGGTCTTCTTTCAGGAATGAGATGAAATCTCAGTGTGGTCTTAATTTGCATTTCTGCCATGACTAATAATGATGAACATTTTTTCATGTATTTATTTGCCATTTGTATTTCTTCATCTGAGAATTGTGTATTCATCTCAGATGCCCATTTTGGATTGAGTCTTTGAATTTTGGGGGTCTGAATTTTTTAAATTCTTTATATGTTTTAGACAGAAATCCTTGGTCTGAGGGGCTGTTCATGAAGTTTTTTCCCAGTTTGTGGGTTTTCTTTTCACTATGCTCGAGATTTCTTTTTACATGTAGAAACATTTTAATAAGAGGTGATCCCATTTATTAACTCTGAGAAGTATTTCCCTTGCGGTTTGAATTCTGTTCATGAATTCTCTATCTACTCCTATGTCTTCAATATTTTACCCAATTTGTCTTCCAATAGATTTAGTGTTTCTGTTTTAATATTTAGGTCTTTGATCCATTTAGATTTTATTGTAGTGCACGGTGATAGGCACGGTTCTAGTTTTAGTTTTTGGGATATTGAACCAGTTTTTCCAACACCATTTATTAAACAGACTCTCATTTGTCCACTGAACATGTTTGGCCCTTTTCTCTAAGATAAGGTAGTTGAGTGTGTTTGTAGTTGTGATTGTATCTTGTAATCTATTCCACTGATGTTCGGATCTATTTTGGTTCCAGTACCATGCTGATTTTACTACAGTTGCTTTGTAGTATAACTTCAAGTCAGGGATTGTGATGCCTTCTGCCTTGCATTTGCTACTTAGAAATGTCCTTGCTATTTTAGGTCTCTTCTCACTCCAGTTGAATTTTAGGAGTGATTTCTCGAGATCTATGAGGTATTTTTATGGTATTTTTATTGGGATTGCATTGAATCTGTATAAGTTTTGGGAGAATGGCCATTTTCACAAAATTTATTCTTCCTATCTATGAGCAAAGGATGTCTTTCCATTTTCTGAGATCCTCTTCAGTTTCTTTTTTCAGTGTATTATAATTTTCCCTATATAGGAAAATTTTACTTCTTTTATGAGAGTAGTTCCTAAATATTTCAATTTATTGGTTGCTAGTGTGAAAAATGTGGCTTCTCTTATTTCTCTGTCAGTGATTTTGTTGTTAGAGTATAGGAATTCTACTGATTTTGAGTATTGATTTTGTTTTTTTTTTTTTTTTTTTTTTTTTTTTTTTGTCTTTTTCATTTTTTTTACCGGTACCGGGGATCGAACTCACGACCGCCTGCTTTCAAGGCAGGTGCTTATGCCGCTGAGCTAAATCCCCAGTCCCGAGTATTGATTTTGTATCCAGCTACATTGTTGAATTTATTTATTATATCTAGGAGTTTTTCAATGGAGTTTTAGGGGTCTTCTATGTAGAGTATCATGTCATCTGCAAACAATCATAATTTAACTTCTTTATTTCCTATCTTTACCCCATTTATTTCTCTCTTGTCTAATTGCTCTGGCTAATACTTTCAGTCCTTAGTTAAATAGGAGTGGTGATAAGTGACATCCTTGTGTTGTGCCTGATTTTAAAGTAAGGGCCTTCAGTTTCTGGCCATTTATTATGATACTGGCTGTTGGTTTGTCATAGATGGACTTTATTACATTGAGGTAAAGACTATCTATTGCAATTTTCTGTAGGGTTCTTATCATAAATAAATGTTGGACCTTATCCAAAGCTTTTCCTGCATCTATAGAAATGATGGTGTGATTCTTATTTTTGGCTTTATTGATATGATGGATTACGTTTATTGATTAACATATGTTGAACCATCCCTGTATGCCTGGGATGAATCTCACTTGTTCATGGTGTATAATCTTGATGATTTGCTGCATCCCATTCGCCAATATTTTACTGAGGGTTTTTGCATCTGTGTTCGTTAGGGATATTGGTCTATAGTTCTCTTTTTTAGTTGGGTCTTTCTCCAGTTTTGGTACTAGTGTAATATTTGCTTCCAGGAATCACTTAGGAAGGATTGCTTCCCTTTCAAATTCACTGAAGAGTTTGACGAGTGTTGGCATTAAGTCTTCATTGTATTTCTTTAGAATTCTGCAGTGAATCCATCTGGGTCTGGGATCTTCTTTGTAGATAAGGGCTTAATCACATTTTTTATTTCATTAATAGAAATTAGGTTATTCAGCAGTTTTAAATCTTCTTGACCTAGCTTTGGTACTTCATATGTATCTAGGAATCTGTCTATTTCTTCTGTACTATCAAATCTTTGAGAGTAGAGGTTTTTGAAATAGGTTTTGATGATCTTCTGTATTTCTATAGCGTCTGTAGTGATTTCACGTTTTTCATTTTTTATTGCATGAATTTGAACTTTTTCTTCTCTTTTTTTAATAACTTTTTGGGGATTATTAACTTTATTTATTCTTTCAAAGAACCAACCCTTTGATTCATTGATTCTTTGGATTATTTACTTAGTCTCTATTGTATTGATTTCTTCTTTGATTTTTATAATTTCCTCTCTTTTTTTGGCTTTGGGCTTGGCTTACTCTTGTTTTTCTGTATGTTTGAGGTGTAACATCAGGTTACTTATTTGTATTCGTTCTGTTTTCCTGATGTGGGATCTCAGTGCAATAAATTTTCCTCATTGCTTCCCACAGATTCTGGTAAGTTGTATTTGTATTTTCATTTGCTTGTAAGTATTGTTTAATTTCTTCTTTAATTTCCCCTGTGACACACTGATTACTCAACAGTGTGTTATTCAGTTTCCATGCATTTGTGGGATTTTTGTAGTATCTTGTATCATTAATTTCAAATTTCAAGGTGCTATGATCCAATAACATGCTAATATATGGTGAGAATGACCCATTTACTGCTGAGAAGAATATGTATTCTGGTGTTGTTCGATGGAACACTCTGTATATGTCTATCAAGTCCATTTGTTCACATGTGTGATTCAGTTCTGTTATTTCTTTGCTTATTTTCTGTCTGGTTGATCTGCCCTTTGGTGTCAATGGTGTCTTAAGGTCTCATGTTATATTTGTGTTACTAATAATTTGGTTTTTCTTTTCTATCAATACTTGTTTTATATAACTTGGTGCTCTGGAATTTGGTGCATGTATATTTAAGATAGTTATCTCTGCCTCTTTTTTTTTTTAATTTAAGAGGAAAAAGAGAAAAACACAACTTGAAGTTTTCCCCTAAGCAGTATGTAGTGACCTTCTTTATCCCTTCTGATCATTATTGTTTTGAAGTTCACATTGTCTGCAAACAGAATAGATAATCCTACCTTTTTGGGGGTTTCTGTTGCATGAAGTATTGTTTTCCAGCCTTTGAATTTCAGTCTGTGAGTATCCTTTTGCATTAGATGGGTTTCTTGTAGACCGCACATGGTTGAATTTTGTTTCTTGGTCAATTCTGTCAGTCTGTTTCTTTTAATTGGCGCATTGAGACCATTTATATTAATGGCTATAACTGTTATATATTGGCTTATTGTTGACATGTTATCTTTCTGCTGTTACATCTTTGTCTTTCTGTTTTGTTTAATTGTCTGCTTTGCTTAGTGGGTTTTCCTAAGTGTATCTAAACTGTCTTTCAATATTCTTTGCAATGTTGGCTCAGTGATCATGAAGTTCTTTAGCTGTTCTTTGTCATGGAAGTATCTTATTTCTACATTGATATTGAAGGACAGTCTTTCAGGGTACATCAGTCTAGGTTGGAAATCATTTTTCCTTTAGGGTTTGAAATACTTCACTCCATGCTCTCCTTGACTTTATTGTTTGTGCTGAGAAGTCTGATGTGATTCTGGTAGATTTTCCTTTATAAGTGATCTGTCTTTTCTCTCTGACAGCTTTTAATATTCTGTTCCTTTGTTGGATTTCTTGGATGGTGATTATTATATGTCTGGGTGTAGTTTTATTTTTGTTATGACTATTTGGAGTTCTATATGTTTCACTGATCCTGATGTCAATTTCCAAATTCATGTTTAGGAAATTTTCAGCTATTACTTCTCTAAATATCCTCTTGACATCCTTTATGTTGTCCCCCCCCTTTTTTTTTCATTTATCCTTATCAATCTTATGTTGTTTTTCTTTGTGCATCTTACAGTTGTGAATTGTTATTTTCTGATGCCTTGTTACTTTTAAAAGACCTTTCCTTTCCTTTTCACAATCTGCAATCTTGTATTCAAGTTCTGAAATTCTATCTGCACTTTCATTGAGGTGATTTTTACAGCTTTCAATGGAATTTTTGATTTCCTGTATAACTCTTTGCATCTTCTTTATGTATCCTGTTTGTTTCTTATATTGTTCATCCAGGGATTCTATCTTTTTGGTTCCTCCAATTTTGTAACTGTCTTCTTTAGATATGTTCAATATCTCCTTCATTTCTTTATCATTTCTTCTTTTACCTGGGATATTATTACTAGTTTGAATTCCTTTAAAGCTTCCTAGATTTGCTTCTTTATTTCAGTGCCATTATTTCAGATATTTCAGGTGTATGGCATATATTTTCTTCTATGTACATAGCTCCTAAGGTTTCTTGGGATGAGCTTGAGGTTTGAGTTTGTAATTTGGTATTTCATTTTGTATTTTCCTATATTTCTGTGTTTCAATTGTTTCAAATGTTATTCTAAGGCTTCCTCAGAGTCTGCTGGAAATTGTCTTCTATACACTCAGTTCCTGGGACTCTGACCACCCAGTACCCCGGATTGACAGAGGGCCACTGGGGATTGGGCAGGAAGGCTCAAGATCTGCAAAGCTGGTCAAGTGCAACAGGAAGCCATGAAGTTCCTGTCTGGGCTGATCGAGGATCCCAAACTAGCTGGGCTCGGGGAAAGGTGCGGGGGACACTCCCCGAGGCCACCCAGCCTCTGGAACTGTTGGTGTTCACTTGTTTGCTTTGAACTCCAGAGTCCGCCAAGCAGAGCCAGGAATGGGGAGGCAGCTGCAGCTGAATACATGTTTCTTAAGTACATATTTTGTAGGTTTTTTGTTTGTTTCACTCCTGAGGATCAAACTCACTATCTTGCGCTTGTCAGGCAGACATTTGTGCCACTGAGATAAATTCCAACCCCCCTCTGTGTTCTTTTGATGATTCTTAGATTTATTCATTAAAGAGAATTTCAAAGCAGATGATAAGAAAATGTTTGAGAAAATGAGAAAAATACAGATTGAGTTTGCTTTTTGAAAGCCTTTTATATTATATTATACTTCCCAATAGATTTAAAATTTTAGCATTTATATTTCAAAATTTTAAATTATGTTCATTGTACTGGCATATAAATATAAAAATATATATAATAATGGAGTATCATGTGATTTTTTTAAATAAATTCATGCATTGTATTACGTTTAAATCAGGCTAAACACATCTTACATCTGAGATTTATTTCCAGTGAAAACAGTCAAGTACTCTTTCTAGTTTTTGAGATATACAGTAATTAGCTGTAATCTGTAGCCCCTGATACACACCATTCTATTCTGAACTTGTATGAAAAGTTGAGGTAAGAAAATCAAAGTAACAGTACTTAACTTCCAACCATTGTTAAGTCTATGATCACCTGTATTCAATGTGTGGCTTACTTAACTGATGTAAGCCTATAATTTTGATATGTTTTGTTATATGCCAAAATAAATTTTTCATTTATGTTTCTAAGTAGTGTTCCATGTATGAATACTATAATTTGTTTAACAATTCATTAGGTGATGGGCATTTCCCTGAATTGTTTCTAAATTGTTACTTTACATAAAACTGCATTAGACATTCTAGTATATTTTTTATTTCCACAATGTTTGTAAGGTTTTACACATCTAGAGAGATGCCACTGTCCTCCATTTGTGTGTGTGTGTGTGCATATGTGTGTATGTGTGTGCAGGCACATATGCAAATAATTTTCTTGTAGCTTGTGGGGTGCCATTTCTTTTCTGTTAAAATGATGCCATTTGGTAATCATACATTTTGTACTATATGTAATGTTATTTATCATTTTTGTTGATGTTCTATTTCAGTAATGTTTGTATTTCTATGAATCACAAGGTACCCTCTTTTACTTTCTTCTGTAATTGATCTCTAGTTAGTGTGTATCTTAGTCACATTCCCTCTCATTGGTGACATCCTCATATTAAAGGAAAACAGGTTTATTTTGGCTCATGGATGTAGTTCCTGATCAATTGACTCCAAGAGAAAAACAAAATCGTAGAAGGGTCTGCTGCAGGGAAAACCCATGCATATCATGATGACCAGGAAATAGAAAGAGAAGGGAAGAAACAAGCAAAGAGATATACCATTCTAGATAACACTCCCAATGGGCCACGTATTCTGGATTGGTGCACCTCGGTCCAAAGCAAGTGGGTTCCCAATGGTTCATTTACATTCCTAAGACCACACCTTTGAGTACTTGAGATCTTTGGAGGCTGTTCTCAATCTGAGCCATAATATTCTTCTCCTGGCTTGAAAAAGATTCATTTGTACATCTATATATCAAATACACTTAGCCCATCTCTAAGAATCACCAACATTAGCAGTTATAACTGTGCAGAGAAACCCAACTCCCAAATCTCCTCTAAGTCCAAAGAAAAACACAGCTGTGAGCTTCTGTGAAAACTAGATAAAAGAGAAACTCTGGTCACATAAATGACCCAGGGTAAGCCTCCAGTTCCAAAGTTGAGAAAGGGATAGAAAGGAATGGAACCAAACACGACTAAAACCCAGCAGGGCCAAGATTAAATCTTGTGGCTCCATGTTCAGCTGCAGTGGTAATGTGTGGTAAGAAGTGGACCCAAGTGATTTGGTTGTCCTCCTCCCTACTCTTGGCTTCAGTTCTTGTGTCTTACTTTCAGGTGCTGTGCTCACAGCCTGCAGCTTCTGTCACCAGACTTTCCACATTGCTGGCTTCTCCAGATTCTTGGAGTCTCCTGCGACTTGCAATTTCACCCTCAAAACTTCACAGGATCATCTCATTTCTTCTGCAATCTGACTGAAAGTCTCCCTGACACTATAACTCTTGGATTCTGTATGTCTGTAAATCCAATACCACATGGATGATTGAGATGTTGCCAGGCTCCTTTGCACAGTGGATGAAGAGGCCTCTGAGGATCTGGATGGTTGAGCATGAGAACCTAGATAGCCAATGCACTAGGCAGCTCCTCATCAGCATTATACATGGGTTCTCTTCTTAAAGCAAAGTATTTCACTTTTGCATCTCGTAGCCAGTGTAAGTGGGATACTAGTGAGTAACCCGCAAGCATGTGATGTAAATTACTTAGTTTTTTCAGCCCCAGTCTTTTCAGCAAAAAAACCTTTTCTCAGTTAGATGTTTTCAGGTCCCAGTTTTACAGATGCCAATTTTATAACTCCAATTTTATAACTTAAAAGTTTCTTTTCTAACTCCTGGCTAGGTTTTTCAAGTTATTCAGTTATCCTCTTTGATCCTAGGTTTTATGGTACATTTAGTTCATAAGTACCAGTAGTACCATGTCATAAACTTAGCATTGGGATGCCTTGAAATTCCCTCTGTGAAATTAATTAGTCCATCATCTTAACCTCAGTCTCTTGCACAGTCTCAGAAATTGAGCAAAATGTAGACAAATTTTCTTTTATATTGTAACACACTGAGCTTAAAGTCCACTTGCCAGTCAAGCCTTTGTTTCAACCTGAAACCTCCTGAGATTTGTCTTTACTGTCTGAATTTCTAAGCATTCTTTTTTGAACCCTGAGCAGAAATGCTCATTGAGCATGACTTATAGCATTCTAGGAGTTCTCTAGATAGCATCTCCATACTTTTCCAAACCCCTCTTACAAACCAGTTATAAAACCTTCTAAACCACATGGTGAGTACTGTCATAGCAACAAGCCCACTTCTGCTACTAAAATCTGTATAACTGTGGTTCACTAAAGGAAAAGAAACAATATACAATTCTGTATAATTATGCAAGGGATTGGTATGCAAGGGCTTACAAGATCAAAGCAGGAAAAATCCCAGTGGTTGTCTGCACATTCTTAGGAGAAAGAATCCAAAATTACCATCTTGACACTGCAGGACTGGAGGGTCCATTAGCAGTTTATGGTCAAAGATCTGGAAACTCACCATAGTCACTGGTGAGAGTTTTAGAAGGCTGAAATGTCTGGATTGAGAGACTGAGGCATCTATAGCCAGAAAGCTAAAGTGTTTCCAGAAAGACCAACATCCAGAAGCAATGGCAAGGGCCAGAGCTCTTCCAATAAAAACAAAAAAAACCAAGACTTCCTCTTTTTTTTTTCTTTTTATTTTACCCAGACTTAAACCTACTTATTGCTTCCACCGACTTCCAGGGTGAGTCTTTCCTCCTCAATTTGTAACCTACTTGTCAATCACCTAAATATTTACCCAGAGCTTTCCTAATCTGCTAGGCAGTTCTTACTCAAATCAAATAGATACGCAGCAATGAATAATTATAGTGTGTAAATTTTATGGGGTATGTAAACATGTTCAAGCTTTACATGTTGATATTCATTCATTAAATCAGCACCAATTTGTTGAAAAGATTTTCTTGTTCTCATTGAATCCATTGGTGCGTCTGTCAAAAATTACTCTTGTCAACACCTCTGTCTCCTGGTACACATTTCATTATGTTTCACTGACAGATTTTTTGCCTTATTAGAGTAAAATACTGTCATAAACATGGCAGTAAGTAATAAATTAAGATCATCTAAATTTCCCAAGTTTTCCTATTTTGAAATTGTCTTAACTATTCTAGTTCCTTTCTATCTTCCATAAAATTTAGGATCAGCTTCTTAAAAAGTCAGCAAGGGTTTGCGGAAATATTTCATTGAATTTTAAGTCAACAGATGTTACACATCTTAAAACAGTGAGACTTTACATCCATGAGCATGGCGTATTTTTTATTTATATGTTTCGTTTTTCTCAGTGATATGCTATAAATTTTAGTGAAAAAATTTCTTTTTACATTTTTAAAATTTGAATTCTCTTATTGTGTTGATGTTATTATGTTGAAATTTAGGTTTTTTCCATTGTTTGTAGAAAATATTTAGGAAATTAGTTTATTTTCAAATTGATTTTTAGACTCTGTGTTTCATGAACACATTCACTAGTTTAAATAACTTTTGGAGAGAGGTACTTCAGTTTGGGATAGACATTTATGACAGTTGGAAAAGCACAATTTTCCCCTTTGCTTTTTGATATATATTTCTGTGGTTTTTACTTTTTGTTTCATTAGCCATGAATCCAGGCATATTACTCAATGAGTTGTAACAATAATAATCCTTTTATTGTTCTTGATTTTCATGAAAATATATTCAGTATTTCCACATTAAGTACAATGCTAGTGCTTGGTATTTTATGTAATCCTTCTTTAAAAATGTATATGTTTGTCATATATTTTGATCATTTCATGAATGTCAGTTTTTTATATTGCTGGATTCAGTTTGCTGACAGTTCGTTCATTAAAGGTTTTCACATCTATATGTAATATTCTTTTTCATTGCAGCAACCTTGTCTAGTTCTGAATCTGGTAATACTTTCTCACAAATTGAAATGAGAGAAGTTCCTTGTGATTTCCTTAAATGGTTAGCTTAAGACTTGGTACCATTGTTTCTTTAAAATTGTGAGAAAGTGTGCAAACATAAATATGGGTAGAGTACTTATTTGAGAGGATTGTATTTATACAAACAAATTATAAGGTTAAAACTACAAAACTCACCTACCCACTACTGTATATATTTAATATACTGTTTCAACATGGAAAATTGCAGCTACATTGGCAACAGCCACCAGCCACTTGCAGCTTGAGAGCCTGGGTTGGGAGTTGGGAAAATCAAAGATGAGGCCAATTTTCTTAAACTCCCAGTTAGGCCCACATCAGCTTAATAGGCAATAATCTAAATTATCACTTATTTTGATTGTGAAACATAGGTCAGATCTCCTATAATCTGAGAAAATAGAACAAATCAGAAATACTTGCCAGCCTCCACTATGGTTCTACAGGGATCTGACATGATCTGATCCAAGTGATCATTAAGTCTATGTTTATGCATATGTGTGTCATGAAAAAAGGAGAGAAACTGGTCATTTTCAAGGAAAAATACCCCAGGAATTAATGAAAATGCAGCAAACATGAACTTAGCTTCTCCCATGCTGCTTGGATGACAGCCCCTGAGGGAAACATCTGCTCATAACCATCTCAGGTCCAGAGAGATTCAAATGAACATTTCCTTTAACAAGAGAAGTTTAGGATTTGTAGGATTAGTTTTCTTACTCTGCTTGGTTGGATCTAAACTGCCATTTTTCAGTACTCCTTACATTCTTGTACAGACTTGACTCCACTATTTATAGGATCTTGAAGGCACAGGATGTTAATATTCAATAATAAGTTCATCTGGTAATTGTGCATGCTCACATACATCTAATAATGAAACTAAAATTAAAATTTCATCTGAGACCAGCGCATTTTCCCTGGTGATAATATTATGGTAAGTCACTCAGATCTACCGTGCTTTGATGACATATTATAATTAAAATTTAAATTTGGAAAATCATCCAAAATGTTTATTATTTGTGTGAATAGAGCTACTGTTTTGTACAGGACAGACAAGATTGATGAGAGGACAATCTCTGCTCCACATCAGAGTGCAGTGCATGGAATCTGTTTCTTTCTCTTATTCTGCATCTGTCCTGATCTCTATCTCTTCACTCTCTTTCCTATTTTCAGTCTCCTCATCATAAGGCCCCTCATTTGTATTGAACTTTTAAATTCACAGAATGTTCTCAGATGCATTAAATAACTCTCACAATCATAATGTTTAGTCAGGTCATAAATTCCTCACACAAAAAAAGACACTGATATTAACTTATTTATCCAGTATCTCTTAGTAAGAAATGTTTAAACCTATAAATAAAAACCCAAGTACCTGTGTTATAGCCCAGCTGATAACCTACTATATTCAGGGTATAAAATGAAGTCCTTCCATACTTTATGCTTTTGCAAAAGTGAATTTAGAGGAGCCCCTAAACCTAGCCTTAAGAATAAAAGGAAAATACTACTGGCACTGCCTCTGACTTATTAATTCCAGGTAATTTTTCTGCATATTCCTCTCTCCTCTTTTATAATTCCAGTATGAAAAAAAATATTCTACAGCATTCATTAGGACAGATGGCCTCAACAAAAATCCTACTTGTGCAAACACCAACACTCCTCCAGGACTCCCTCCTCCAGGTGGCTTTTTATATTTGTAAATGACCAAGAATCTTTGTATCTAATATCTTGACAAGCATAAAAAGATCAGATCATGGTAACTGTATAATCCACCTGGAAAACATGTTTAATAGTTATAAGAAGTATAATAGTTATAAGAAGTATAGCAAGCTGGAACTGCAGTGCTTAGTTCAAAATTGATCTTAATTTATAGTGCTCATTACTTGAACACTTCTAAGAAATACAATTGTGAAAAAGGTTAAGGCAAAGCAAATAATTGAAAGAAAATATGAGGCAATCTATTGCATTTCTGATATGTTAATACTTGAGCATTATAAAATATTAAAAGTCAAGAAGTGTCCACAAATCACTTTGGTGGTAGAAGTTGAAGGAAGAGAAAAGAAAACAGAAACATTCAGAATCTCCACCAGGTCCCAGATATGGTGCTAGGTGCTTCTGATTAATCAAGGTGGGTTCTCAGTTGGACATTCACTACAGATTTACAGCAATGGGAAATGATTTAAGAAGACAAAGAAGTAAAAGGGAACAGAAAACTGAATGGATTCTAAAATTTCCTTTTGTCCAGCACAATATCCAGTAAAAAAAAATAGCAGTGCCAGGTGGCAATGCCAAAAATATTGATGACAACTTCTGGGATAACATGGCGGACAGATACCAACAGCTATGGAGGCTCTCTGAAAGACCCAGCTTAGAACCCAGGAATGGTGAGGAGTGAGGAATCCTAAGCAAGAGAGGAGATATACCCTGCTGACCCAAGAACGAACTGGGCTGAGAGAAACCAACTGGGAATGCAATCCTGGTG